TCCCCCTGCGCTGCTGCAGGACGTTAAATTACACACCTTCAATTAGCAGGATATAATGGTTTAACGAGGAAATGCTTTGTGGTGGACTCAAACCCCAGATTATTTCCTCCTGCAGGAGATTTTGACTACATTATTCTTATTAATTTAATTTGAATATTTTTTTTCTCCCGGTGAGAAAGCCTCTCCAGGCTCTTTCCGTCGAGAAAAAGGCGAGGAAATGCAGAGAGAGGGGAAGCAGCCTTCCCAGGCAGCCTGAAGAGCTGCGAAAGTTTCGTCCCTTTCTCTCGCTGTGTTCCCCCCCCCTCCTTCTCCAGCCTCCCCCAAATTTCTGGGTGCCTGGTGAGGAGAAGCCAGGCCGGTGGGGGCACGAAACCCCACCAGGCTTCAAAACCATACGCTTGATTAAAGGCAGGAGGAAAACGGGAGCGGAGGGAGTTTGCAGAGGACGCGGGATGCAACTCTCTGCTCTGCCTGGCCAAAGTTTGTGCCTCTAATTCAACTCTGAAAAATACCTGGGGTTTTTGTCAGTTCTGCTTCTGCAGGAGGGACAGCAACACGCTCCTCACAGGGCCAGCAACGTACCGCATCGCTTCGCATCTGCACGTGTCGCTTCTTGGGTTTAGTAGGCCCAGTTGCACGTTAAGGAGAGAAAATAAATCCATGGGCTGGTTGCTCCTTATCCTGCTCCCCCCCCCCCCTTTTTTTTTTAATTTAAAAAAAAAGAAAAAAAAAAAAAGAAAAAAGCCAGGCACTGTGCTTTTACTCAGTTGTGAAAATCTCGCATTCTTGTTGCACGTTTGGAAAAGTAATACGAGGATTAGAGGCCTCCTGACAAACTCTTCCCTCCGAAGGATCAATTAGGTGATTCTGTCATTTTCTGTAGAAAAAGGGGGCGAGCCCTTAGCAATTGCAAGCAATTTCCCATTTTTCATTTCAGGAGCTTTTATTGATACGAGTTTTGGGATGGAGATTTTTTTTTTCTTCCTTTTTTTTTTTTTTTCTTAAGTTTTGCTTCAGGTTTAAAGGGAAGCTTTCAAAAGTGGGTTAGAAAAGGAAAACAAACAGAAATCCTGGTTATGAGCGGTATTTATCCAAGCACTGGAACTGAAATGGCACGAGCATTTTGTATCATCTGTCAGGAAAAATCTAAACATCGTTCCATTTACATATCTGCTGAAGATCTAGGAAATAGTTGGGGAACATGCACATCTCCTAATAGATTTACAAGCAAATGGATTGTAAAAATATTAACAAGGGTCGCTGTGGCTGGCTTAATTTCAAAAAGATCAGCAGAAATATATTGTTTCAAAAGGCTCCTTTGCAGCGTTACATTATTGCAGGCACCTTTGGGCTGGGTTTGGGGGCTCTTTTGTCATTGGGGGTTTTTTGGGTTGTTTTTTTTTTTTTTACACCTTTCTGAAGAGCTGAGGAGAATTTCGGTATAAGCAATACAGAATTGTGCGGCCCAAATTTTAGGTGCTGCTTCGAAACAGGCTGTTCTTGGAAGAGCTGTATTCTCAAACTTTGGAGAGTAGTAAAAAAAAAAAAAAAAAATCAGCTTACTTTTTACTCTTGATTTCCTAGCTTTCTGGTGCCTTTTATTTTTAGGTGACCCATCAAACGCCGAGGGGGGAAAGCAAACGTCTTTCCTAAATACTTTGAAAGTTTCTCTTAAAGCTAACTTGGGGAAAGAGAAGGATCATCTCCTTTTCCACCAGTTACTGAAAATCTTGCTGTTTTGCGGTGAGGCTGCAGACAAGTCTGCACATCTGTTAGCACACTTGCATGGACGCGCTTCCAAAACTTTTTTTTTGGGGGGTGTGTGTTATAATAACACTGAAATAAATAATTGTATTGTGCAGAAACTGGTTCCCCCCTCCCCTCCCGCTTCCAGCCCAATTTTGTTTGATCAGTCCTGAGTGCTTTTATTTCCACTTCGACTTTGCTAATACCTCGCTGCCGAGATTGAAGCGGTGCGATTTTACGGAGCGGCGTGTTTACCAAGACGGTTTGCAAGTTGGTCTGCTTATGAGTCATTAACCTTTTCTCCTCGTACACCATTTTGAAAAGACACATTGGAGTCTAATAGGGACGTGCACACCTCGCGCGCCGAGCAGCGGTGCTTTTCATTTACTTCAGCCATGGACCCTTACTTTGCACCAAAAAGCACCTTTCCCCTCCTGCCCCCCTGAAGTCTTTTAAAGTGTTTTTTTTTTTTTTTGGGGGGGGGGGGGGGGGGTTTACCTCCCCTTTCAGGTTCACATGGTAGAAATCAGCTTTAGCGCAGGTTAAAGCGACTCTCTTGGATAGTATCCAGCGTCGAGCCAAAAAAGTCCCGAGCACATGAGATCAGGCAGGACAAAGCGCTGCTTAAAGCAGAAAAGTTAAAATATTTCAGGGTGTACCAAGACGTGTACGCTTGAAGCACTCCCCTGGCTCATTGTGGGTCTGTCGAGCCTCTGCCGTGTGTACCTTCGCAGATAAACTTCCACTTGACAAAAGGCCTTTTTTCCTTGACTTTCCCTGAGCGGGGAAGGGGAAGGACAGGAGGGATCAGAAGGGAAGGCTTATTATTTTTAATGGCTTGTAGGGACCTGTAGTTTTGATATTTTTATTACTTTTTTTTCTCCCTCCCCACCCCCCTACCCCCCCCCACGAGAGCGGTTTCTGATGGGTGAGAGCAGCTCCATGTGCTGGGATTGTGCCTCCTCTCACTTTTTGAATCCGCCGACTGCAAACTCGCAGCAATCTTTTTTTTTTTTTTTTAACTTTATTGAAATTTGAAACTATGATCTTTTCCAGTAGAGGGGGGGGGGAACCAGGAATGTGCCAATCATTGGAATGATTTATTTTATTTTACCTGCTTATATTTTAATAATCATTCATAGTACTTGTGATTACTGCCGCTCTGCTGTGCTGTAATGAAATATATTGTGCCAGTTCTGGTATTTTTTAACAATCTGTGTTCAAAATAAAAATAAATGCAGTAGTATTACCTATAGATTTAAGTATTTACAATTCAGGGGCCACTCAGAATAAGTGCAATGAAAGCTTTTGAGAAGTCAGCAGAATGTCTTGAATTACGACAGGATTTTGCTGGTAGATATTTCTACTATTGATTTCTCAATTTCTCCTAATTTTCAAAAAGCAAATGCAAGTTAAAGTAAGGTGTTGAAAGGATGTAAGATGTCTGTTTTAATAACAATGTTTGCATGACCTGAAATGATTTGGGTAGGAAACGTACTCCATGGGGAAAAAAAAAAAAAAAAAAAAAAAAAAAAGTTAGTTAATCTGAAAAATCCCCAATGCTGTCTTGCAAGGGTAGGCAGCGGGTGGCTTTTACCATGCTGGGGGAAATGTTGCACAAATTATTTTATTTTTCCCTCCTGGAGGGCCCAATCCTGAGAGAAGGGGAACTCGGCCCCTGGAAGCAGACATGTCCCCAGCACGCAGTGCTGGATCAGGCCCCCACAGCCTATATATGTTTTTCTGTGCAGCCTGGAGTTCGGTCATTCATTTCTTTGGACAAAACCAAAAAGCATGGTCCCAGTGTATTATAATATGTTTTGATCTCTCTGGCTGATACATATTACTTTTTGAGGAGATATATATATAATTTTTTTTTTTTGGAAAGAAAATTGAGGGGTCTTTCTTGCATTTTTTTAATTGTCAGCAGAATTTTATTCATGACTATTTTTGTGCCAAGGAAGAGGGGTGATCTTTAACTCCTCATTACACAAAGCAAGCAGTGTCTCTGGATGGCCAAACTAACTTTCCAAGTAGGGCAGTTCTTTGTAAATATACAAAAATATGACACAAAGTATAAAGAAAAAATAATTCTTCGTGTATTTGCACAAGTTGTGCTAAGGTTTTCTGTTACCGTGTTTTTCAATTTTCCCAGTTTCTTTTTATTTGCTAGAAAGGCTCAGAGTTTGCCTTGTCCTGATATGCCCGAATAGCAGATGCTTATTTTTTTCTTTTTGACTGCATATAAACAAAACTTTAAAAAAGAAAAAAAAATTGCGAGACCTGCTTTTCCTAGGATTTTAGCGTTAGTTATTGTTGCGCACGCGGGATAAATCGGCCGCGTTACTTTCTACTCCCTTCACCGTGTAGGAAACGGAGGGAAAACCACCCTTCATTGTGTTTGTGTATGCAGCTATATTGGCATTTTACTATACTGCCTGCTGCTATTTCCAAATATATCTTAGGGAAAGTTTTACTATACTTTAGGCTTCCCCATACAAACATTGATTGGCATCCAAATGTTTAGGATTTGCCAAATTGGCGGGCATACGCTGGCTACACCGCAAGCAGCGGGGTCAGGGAGAGAGCAAAAGGAGATATGCGCTCCGCAAGTGGACTCGCAGCGGAGTTTTTAGCTTTTAACTCCTTCTCCCTTCCTGTTTAAAGAGATGTGGGGATTGGGGAAGGGGCCCCATCATTGCACCCTCTCCGCCTGGGTGCTTGTTTGAAGTTGGACCCTGTTCTTGAGGGGTGGGAGCGGAGGTTTTGGGTCGGTGCGAGGTGAAGCGGGAATGCAGTGGTGGCGGGGTTGGGGCCTGTCGGTGAAGGGTACGAGTCCTGCAGCCTGTAAAACGTATAAGCACCTTCCTAATTCTCACCGTCCCGGCGAGCCTTAGCGCCTCGCGCGAAAGCCCCGTTTCCGGAGGCTTTTTGTTGATGGTTTCGGTGACATCGACCCTTCTCTGTAACTTTTTCAGGATGAATTTCATCCCTTCATCGAAGCACTTCTGCCTCACGTCCGAGCGTTTGCATACACGTGGTTCAACCTGCAAGCCCGAAAACGAAAATACTTCAAAAAACATGAAAAACGCATGTCAAAAGAGGAAGAGAGAGCCGTGAAGGACGAACTGCTAAGTGAAAAACCCGAGGTAAAGCAAAAATGGGCATCCAGACTTCTGGCAAAGCTCCGGAAAGATATCAGGCCTGAATTTCGGGAGGATTTTGTTCTCACAGTCACAGGAAAAAAGCCTCCGTGTTGCGTTCTTTCCAATCCAGACCAGAAGGGCAAGATGAGAAGAATTGACTGCCTTCGCCAGGCAGATAAGGTCTGGAGGTTGGACCTTGTTATGGTGATTTTATTTAAAGGTATTCCGCTCGAAAGTACTGATGGCGAGCGCCTTGTAAAGTCCCCACAGTGCTCTAACCCCGGGCTGTGCGTACAGCCCCACCATATAGGAGTTTCTGTTAAGGAACTCGATTTATATTTGGCATACTTTGTGCACGCAGCAGGTAAGTGCTTTTCTATACCACCTTCTCCAACTTTTCGGTTTATCTCCGTGCCGGGTGCCGTGCCCTGGCAGCGGCGGCTGCATGAGCCGGGGAGGGAGCGGGGGACGCTGGTTATCACACTCCCAGGGCAGCGAGGGGAGTGCCAAAACTCCCCCCCTTCTTTTTTTTTCGCGGGCTTTTAAGGTGCAGCCGCATAAAAGTGGTTTTCATTTTCCCAGGGTTAATGGCGTTTCGGGCATCCTTCACAGGTGTTAGCCTAAATGTTGTCCTAGGAGGGATCACAGGCAGACGCGGCTTCCTTTATCCCGATTTTGGGGGAAAGCAGATAGATTTTAGTTTAAAAAAAAAAAAAGTTTGTATATGTTATGCACAAAGTAGTCTGACAAGGCTAGAGGTCCCTGAGGGCTGTGGGTCAGGAGCACCAGGTATCCTCACCCTGTGGGGATGGGATGGGGAATGTAAATCCTGCCAGACTGGGCTTGGAGGGAAAGGGGAAAATGGTCCCTCGGTAGCAAACCTAGCTGTCAGGTCTGAGCGGCCACGAAACAAACCCCTGGGTAATCCTGTGCCGTAAAGGAGGCATTTAAACCCCTCTGAAATACCACAGTGTATACACCTAGAAGCTGAGCAGGTCTTGAAACAAATTTGATTATATTGTACTTACGGGGGTGGGGGGGGCTGAGAGGTTTTGCGTGTGATGAAAATGAAAACCTTGGGATCTCTGATCCAGTGCGAAGTACACCCTGCCCGCAGAGTGACTCGGTGTGCTCCGAGGATGTGTAGTAGGTTGACTGGATAAAATAATATGCTATTCTACTCCTGAGTGTTATATTGCAGAAAAATGTGCGCGTGTGAAGTGCTAGGCCCCGGGTTTCACGTATAGTATGCATAGGTCCCGCTGGGCTTCAGCCCGACTTGCAAAAGTTGAGGGGCTGGATAGGCTGGAAAAAAAGTGGAGCAGAGGGGAGAGGAATCATGTTTGTAGAAACCACTTTTATATAAATACATGTCGGTAAGAAAACTGAGCAAATTACAGCACCAGGAGCCTGTGTTCCCAATGCTACCTTCTTTCGGAGGGGCTCGCAGAAAGTTTTGGCTACCCCAAAGTTTTCTGTGCGGAGTCTCCGCAGTGCTTGTTGCGATAGGCAGCGTCGCCGCTGTGATTTTACAGGTACAATCCCTGTTCGGAAATAACTTTCGAGTATCCTCACAGTATTTCCTGCAGATAAGCTGTGAAATTTACTTTGTACTTCGGTGCGCTGTGGTAAATCATATTGCATGTTTATGGTGAAGGGGAGGTAGGCAAATATTGCGGAAAATTATTTATTTACTCTGCAGTTTATTATGGGGCACGGTGAAGGAAGGATTACCAATTAATGGCTAACCAAAGGGAGATTTGGGCTGGGGTGTTGCGGGTCCTCTCCTGTTCCATCACTGGCCCTGAGGAAACCAGGGACTCGCATCCCTTTTGTCTGCCTCGGTTTCCTCCTCCATACATCGCAGCAGGGTACTCGAAGTGCTTTGATAGCCACGGCTGAAAACTACTATGTAGTGATATAGGGCACGCAGGTTTTTATTATTTAGATTTATATATAGTGCAGTGCTGGTAAATACTGGTCTGTATTGTGTTTCCTAAATGAAAAGCAGCCTTCTGCGGAGTGCAAAAGTTGTTAATAGAAACCAATGGTCTTGGTTTAACCTGCATGTAGGGTCACAAAAATGTACAATGGTGAGAAAAGGACCAAACCCAGGGGTGTAAGTGCTCCGGAGAGCCTGAAGGGAACCTCTCCCTGTTACAACAGTCGGGCAATAGACATTATAAAAGTTCAATATTGTGATTAGGAATATACCATCTTATCAGCACACTGTTGGCAAACAGTACCTTGATAGCGAACTCTTATTTATTTCTGCCTTCATCGTCAACAGGCAGCAATTGCACTAATTGTTCTTCAGACTAGATGTTTGCCGCGGAAACTTAGCGCCAGGCTTAGGCTCGGCTTTTTTGGGTTAGATTTGCGGTTTTGTGTAAGCAGCAACGCACTCGTGCAGACCGCACCGCTTCATGTTTTTGGCCGTTGTTTGCTGATTGCACGCATCGCATTGTGCTCTTAATGCAGTAGCGTGTGCTGGCGTATTCCCTGCTAAACCTCACTGGGGAGGGGGGCAAAATGATTTTTAGGAGGTAGCACAGCGTGGTCGCCGTCTATATCGCTTCACAGAGGTGTACTGAAAGCCTCACGTATAGGCTACCTTTTTTTTTTTTCCCCCTTTTTTCCCTTTTTTTCCCCCCTCCGATGTATCCCAGCAGTCTTTGTTACACCTGAACATTGGCCAAGTTGACAGCCATTGGTTCCCGCAGACCCGCAGTAATGGCAGCTTGTGCCGGGTGCGCAACAGGAAAATTACAAAAGAAAAAAAATATTAAGGGTCCTTTGTCTCAAACTCCATCAGACCTCGCTCCTCAAATGTATGGACCGCTTATTTATAAGGAGGAATTGGCCAGCGCAAATATTAGGTAGGCTGGTCAACTTACATATAGCGGATTTGACAAGCATCTGCTATAGTACAGAAGATTTGTAAACACGAAACAATGTTTTTACCTCCTTAAAAGTTTTGAGAAGTTGCCAGTATTGGCAGGAGGCACAGACTCCGAAACGTGCTTGAAGATACGTGCCAAAACCATTGTGACCTTTTCACCCATAGTGCTCGCTTCTCTTTTTCTTGTTTTTTTTTTTTTTCCACTCTTCGTCTTCTTTTTTGGGGGGGGAGTATTCTCTTCTAAGATGCCCTTATTCGAGATGACTTCAGCAGCGAGATGTCCCTTTCCTTCTAAACATGTACGATAATTATTGCTTTGAATCCATGCTTTTTCTTCAGTAGGCACTATCATCTGTAAGGGAACACATGTGCACAGATTTAAATAGTGCTTCTTACAAAGCTACTGAAATCAATTATTCTCTTTAAGAACTGGCTAGAAAGAGAAAACAAAAATATGCAAATAGGCAAACTACATGTCATTTTCATTTTTTTTTTAAAAAAAAGAAAATAAAAAAAAAAAAAGGAAAGGAAGATCGGTGTTTTGTGAATTAGAGGTTGACCAAAAAATGTATTGAAATCTAGAGTATTGCTCTCAGTTTGCAGTTTCTAATCTTCTTAACTAAAAGCAGGCGGCATTTTCATACCCTGAACTTGGGTTCGCTTTTTAGTTTTCACTTATTCTGCGCTTGTATCAAATGACAAGTTGGAAACCATTGTGGCAAACCGTTTTCTTTGTGGGAGTCGAACAGTAAAGCTAATTTATGACCGGTCCTTTACCAGATGATCTGTATCAGAATCTACAATATACTAGGCACGTGGCAAGGTCACAATTTAAGTTGTTAAGGTCACAACCTTAGCCACCAGGCATTTGACCTTTTAGATAAAGTTAACCTTTGTTCATTAGTAGGCACTCAACCGAGAACTTTCTGGAGTTTTTTACTGCTTTGGAGTTCCTTCTGCTAATGTGATCAGATTGGAGAATAGATTCGCAATGGAAGTAGTTAAATTTTGTGAGAGGTCACAGTTTTTAGAGACTTCTCCAGTGGATGAATCTGGATGGCAGGCCAGGAGGCAATGCTGCGATGCCCGATTTATTTTTTTGGACGGCCGTCATTATGCGCTTCGGGCGAGAATTAAGCTAGCGAGGTATTTGTGGCAGGGAAAATCTTTTAATCTTTCAGAAGGACATTTAAAAATCCCAAATTTAAGAAAAATCTAGGGATAGGGTTTTATTTACATAAGCCCATTTTTCTATTCGTGTTTAGAATAGAAGCCAGCGAAGATGCAAGAAGTCAGCCTTATTTCTGCGACTGTGAAAATGTACTTAGCATCTACATATGCTCTATGGCTAATTGCCTGGGCAATAGTATATAGCACATGACCTTGAACTTTAAGCAGACCCATTTTACGCTCCCATCGTCGGATTTAAAATATTTCTATTTGGACCACCGCAAAGAGGCATCAATGGGAATGACCCAAAGATTGGTTAATGCAGAAAGCGATTGCAGATAGCCAAAATACCCGTGGAGGTATCAGGGAGTCCGAAAGGTACATGAGGCTTTGCGCCGTAATCTTTTAGTACAATTGGTATTGATTGTTGCTGCATTAATCCTGTTAATAGCCGCAGCCGGTTCGGCGTGTTGCAGGGCTGCGAGAGGTGTCCTGACAATCCTGTACATCACCAAAAGAGCTGTCGCAGCGTCTTGAACTCCTGATAGCTGCTTTGCAAAAGTGGAGCGTTCGAAGGTGGAAACAATTGCCGGCTCATATAGAAACACACACCATATTGTTTACTTAATTATGCCGTAGCCAAGGCTCATTTTTAATTATTTAGCGGACTTCCTCACTTTGCTGTGATACCACATTTATTATTTAATTTAAAATCAAAAGGGCTGCGATACTGTTAGTTTTTGATGCATTTTACTTTTGTTTTGGCTATGTTATTGTCATTCCATCGTACAGTAATCCAGATAGCCGTGATATGCAGATCGGCCAGATGGTCATGTTAACAGATTGAGAACCCACTTCCCACTGCTAAAGAGCAGGTGTAAGATCAGTGGGCTTTTTTTTTTTTTTCCCCTCCTCTCCTCCCAAGTTTCAACCAAAATGGTTCGGCTCATAGTGGTAGTTACATTGGGGCACATTTCAAATGGTGTTTGTTCTATGGAGATAATATGTAATATATACGTCGTTTTTACACGTATCTGAAGACTTTTAAAGCATCCGTGACATTCTCTCCGTATATAAGACTTTTGAAAACCTACTTCTAGCCTGTGGCTGTTCCCGCGTGTGTCCAAAATGGTCCTTAAAGTTTTGCTTATGATGTTAATAGTCCTTATTAGTTTCTACAGAAAATGCAGGTTACAATTACTCTTACCAAAAAGTAGTCAGCCAGTTTTCCACCAGGTATTTCACAGACTTTCCCCATACAGGGCTCCCTGCGCACACCCAGGGGAACCTGA